TCACCAATTATATAACGTGAATCACTTTTTAAATCCGAAGTTTGTAAAAAGTAGGCAGTAAACTTGACGGAATTTGAAGGCTAGCTTCCGGATTTGTTATTTCCGAATTTTATAATGTGATTGGCATTAAAAACACGCTCACCTTCAACGAAATTTCCTTTCCGAGGCTTTGTGTCAACCCAATCACATATTGTGTCAATACTTATCATTTTATCGTAATTTAAAAACTTGAAAATTGCACGGTACACTATAGAAACTACGATAAATTTTTCCTAATCGGCGCCATGTTTTTAGGATCCTCCCATTTGACGGATCCCAGTAGACTAGAGATGCGCCGGATAGTGGTTAACGTCTTCCTTCAGGCGGGCTTTTCATTAAATGCCATCTTCATCAACGTTCCAAACCACATTAAGTCTTGTTAAAAAAAGTCGTTAAAACACTAAACCAGGAATCGTCAGGTAATTTTAAATGGGGATCCGCAAAATTTTTATCGAAGTCCTTACCAATTTTTTATTTTAATTTTTACTCACTAAATGCCTGCATATGCCTCCGATTAAAAGAGACTTCAGAGGTTGTCAGAGTGAGTGAGATATCGATTTATAATATTTTTTTGTGGCTGTTCGATGTACGGGTGCGAAAGGGTGCTGCGGAAATAAAAGGGTTAGAAGCGTTCGAAATGTGGTGTTACAAGCGAATGATGAGAATACCGTGGATAGAGGAGGTTAAAAATGAAGAGGCATTAGAAATAATAGGAGAATGGAAGACTTAATAGAAGTAAATAAGAAATAGGCGAGATAGGCTGGTAGGACACCTTCTCAAGCATGAATGTTTAGTCAGAGACTTATTAGAGGCAGAAACGGGAGTTAGGAAAGGTAGAGGTAGACCTAAATCAGATTGCTAAATATTTTTTTATTAATTTATTTGAATAGTTTATACTTCCAAAAAATTTTTGGCGGTCCAGTTTTTCGCCTTCCAGGGTCCGAACGTGAACTGCGATCCGCCAGTTGCCGACCGTTGCACTGAAAGAATGAAATTTTCATTCTTGGTTGACGGATTTCAATGAGAGGGTTGAGACGAACCTATAATGTATAACACTAAAAGTCTGCAAGGTGACAAAATCGTTATCGTAGTTATTGTTAATCACAACTTGTTACACCAAAAAGCCATAGAAATTGTAGCAGTTCGCCCATACTGTTTTTGTTCACGAGGAACAGTAAATAGAAGAACTATATCGAAATTACAACTAATTTAGAATATACAGTAATCAATATATAATGTAAATTAGGACAAACAATCTATCCCAATACAGTCCTAATTACCAATTTTCACAAGGTACGTTTTCTGTTATCCTTATTAAGTGTTTGTTGTTTCTTTTTTCTCCGGTAGCCATTATCCGGTATCCGGCTGGTTCTAAAGAAAGTGCCGCTTCCACCGGATACCCGATCCGACCCGGCCCATCTCTAATGTAGACGTAATTACCTACAGCCAGAACAACCAATCATAACAGACCTGACATCACGTTAAACATTAATGAAACCAAAACAACCTATCTATCGTCATAGATGTTGCTTTACAAAACACTGAAAATCTTAAAAAGAAACATATTGACAAAATTCAAGAATATATACCTTTAGCCGAAGGTAAAAAAAAATATGGGATCAAAACACAGTTCGAATTCTTTCAATATTAATTTTTTCAATAGGCGTTATACGAATAACATTGCATGCTAGCATAGTCAAATTGAAACTTCATGAACTAACATACATCAGTCTTCAAAAATCAGTAATGCTTGATGCATGTCGAATAGTACGCACATTTCATAACACTGCTATCATACCCCCAATCTTATTTCAGGACAAAATGTACTGATAGCCCCAAACATAATTTAATAACAGTAAATTGATGTCGACAGTGCACCCAAAAAAGTGTCATTGAGATTCTTTAGCATCAATCCGTCTTCATTTCCTGGAAATTGACTAGTGAAAACTGAGAAGACTGGAAAATGATAATAACAATACAGCTCGTTGGTCTGTAACATACCCATTTTCGCAAAAGCAGTACTGATCGGGATTGATAATACTTTGATTTTTTTTTTAATCATTAAATTGGCCAAAGACCGGACACATTACGCTGTCTTATTTTATTTAAGACTTATTAGCTACTTCGCTACGAGACGGAACTGTACGATATCTGCCCGCTCGCGCAAATGATGCGCGGCTGACGCTTACTTCAGGATGAATTAGAAGTACAATAATCTTCCCTCTGAGTTTCTATGAACACAAACTAGAAATTAATAAAAATGAATAGAAAATCTTTTTTAAACGAACTCGTTAGTGTGACTAGGAACATAGTATCACTCCTTTTGTTTGTTAGGTTCTATAAAATCATCACGCAAGTTTCATTTTTGTTTTGTTTACCATTTCTCTTATTTTTCCTTTATCATATCTAAAACACTATTAACGTTCTGGTTTTTGTATTTAAATTTATCAGCTGTTTCACAGATAATAATAAAGTTTAGGCAAATGTATGCATAAAAAATAGGCACTTATGCATACAGGAAAGGTAAATTATCATTTGCAGCACACCCTACAGAGTTATTAATCAAAAGTTATCATGAGGGGAGTAATGTGCCCTCGATTTTTTATCTTAAAAAAAAATGGAAGCCGAATACATTAGCTGAACATACATGGCTCTGTGCTAATGTATATACATACACATTTATGTTTACGTATACCTAAGCGGGAAATATTAGGTAGATACTATGATATATACAGTCACTGGCAGTATTTATAACATTATATGTACAATTAACTGATAATAACATGAATACAAAAATAAACGTTAACAGTCCAGTAAAAGTAAACTATAAAAAGATAACAGTCAGTACTGCACGGAAAAAATGACCATTTTATCCACTAAAATTACAATACTGAAGTCCTCAAGTGTGCTGTTATTGGTATCAATTACTGCTGAAAATATCAACGTTATGTTTATTTATATTGGGTTGTTCAGAAAGTCATTTCGTTTTTTCCCGACAGAGGATTTAATTGTATTCTTTTGCACCCAACTTCACGTTTAAGTCGTATAATTTTTATATGCTTTGAGAGCTCATATAGCAAGGCTTGTGTGTGAAAAATTCCAATTAATTCTACGCAGTAGTTTTTGGNTATACTTGCTTCTACAAGAAATATCATTCATTCTGTGGAAATGTAGCTTTACAGGTTGTCCTGCGTTTGTGAAAGTCCAAGAAGTACCCTTTTTCTAATTTATTAAAAATGTTACAAAAAAGGGTAATTATGAATTAACGTAGTTTTTTCACGTTAGTCGGAAAATGCCTCAAGAGACGACCACACACTGTTTCGTAATACGCGCATCGCCGCGCAACACGTAGGCGTATTCACTTGTCTCAAGTCAGGTTAAGTCGCTTGAACGCGTCTCAACTTGAGGCTAATCGTAAGTCTGTCAACTCGCGCATGGGAAACTGCATTTCGGCCACAACGCCGCTTAAATGGTCTACAAACCGTGCTTGTGTCGAGTCTTGTGCCATTTTGTGTCTTACGCGTCTCAATATGCACCTTGTCTAACCGTCTCGCGTTGATAATGCCACATTTATTAGCCGTGAACAGGTTTTGTAGTACATGGGGTAAGTCTCTTTTTGGTTTATTTTTTCTCATTTTTCTCCATTTTTCACTGTAAAGAACGTAATGCGTCATTCAAAGCCAACGTCTTCACAAGTGAAGCATTGTATGGCATTGAACGAATTTCACTATTATTAATCGAATAATGTATATAATAATGACATTCTTGAGTTGAAAAAGGATGAATCCTTGACTGGCACTACTTATAATTACTGATAAAATATTCTCAGCGTCTTCTCTATGTGCGGATCTTCGTATAATTTTTCTGTCTCCCTAACTTAGCAGATTTGGCTAACTTTACAAGTTTATTCTTAATCCCAAAACTTTCATACTGTCCTTTCAATAAGTCTCATTTCAATTAAAAAAACAAGTAGAAGTTGTATCAGTAAATACTAATGGTCACTACAGGTCGCGTTTTACTGTTCTGATTCTGGTTTAAAGGCCTAAAGTTCTAAAAGCATCTCCAACCACGGCGGTATTTAGGCCCGAATCACAAAACAATGCAGTATTAGCAGTATTACCAATAATATTTAATAAATGGGCTTTTGTTAGCAAAAGTAAAAAATACATTCCAAAAAACTGCTCATTTAATATCTGAAAATCTGAGGAAGGTAATGTGTAAATCATACTCTAGCAAAGGGTTACCAATTTAGTTTTACTCTTATTTTATTTTGTATTAAATCATTTTGCGACTCAATTAATAAATAATTACATTAAATAATCGCCAAATAAAGATCGCTTCGAAGTTGATTACACAATAGTTTGATCGGTAGACATGTGATTACATGTCAAGTTCTCTTTGTATAATTCAGTACGGATAAAGCTTTAATCCATCAGGGTAATTGATTCAGTAATTACTACTGTATTATTAATTTATCAATTCGCATTGTGTAGGTATGTATACACAAACAGACTTGTATTTAGATGTATTACCTATTTAAGTTTAAATGTGTATCATTTTTTTGCGTTTCAATTAGCCATTTAATATTAATATAATTTTTTTGTTACAGGTGAGTGTTTTCAGTCTTCTGGATTTCTCTAGGCTTCGTTGAGCTTCATGTTTATAAGGTAACAATAGAATGTTATTGAACCGACTTTACATAATACGTAGGTACGTAATAAGTTTATGTATATGTACATGTTACTGTAAAAGCAGCTACTTTACCATCAAATTAATTATTTATTATTAATTAACGTATGTATTTAGTGCTGCCAACGCATGTAAATCAAACTATAACGAGGCTTATTAATGTAATAAGAAATTCCTTATAATATTGAACTAAAAAGTAAGCTATAATATGACTTTGTAAGATTTTCAAAATCCAAACGTGCTGTGGTGTACGTCGGAAACGATATCAGTGGAGTCAGTTTTCTGATCCACGTTGGCCTATGCTATACGTATAGGTCATTATCATCATAATAAGGTCATCAGTCCTAAGACTGGTTGGACACGTACCTCCACTCTTTCCTATCCTGAGCTAATCTTCTCATTTCCATAAAACTAGAACTTTCCATATTTTTAACTATTTGCCAACAATAATCTAATCTAGGTCTATCTCTACTCCTCTTAACTCTTGTTTTTGCCTCTAATATGAGTCTGACTAGCCCTTCATGTTTGAAAAGGTGTCCTACTAACCTATCTCTCCTATTTCTTATTGACTTCCATAGAGTCCTCTGTTCTCCTATTCTTTCTAATACCTCTTCATTTCTAACCTTCTCTATCCACGGTATCCTCATCATTCG